CAGAACACCAGTGTTCTTCAGTCCAGAGCTTGATGATGCAACCTGCATAAGCTATATGTATGTGAACTACCAAGTGGGATCCAGCAAGGGAAGGAGATTAAAAAAATGGCTTGCAACAGCTTTAACTTTAAAAATACTGTCCTAATGGAATGCAAAATGCTAAACTGAAGCAGCGGTTTTAACAGTAAGTTTTTGTTGTCAAATATTGCAAATTTGTTTAAGACGATGTAGGCTGTATACATATCCCCTACTTGTGGAAGAATTATAAATTTAGTTATCTGGGGAAAAAAAAAAGAAGAAAAAGATACTAGCAGTAATTCATACCTGAAGTACCGTTGCCTGTCATAAAAATATATCTGTGAAGAATCAAACACTGGCAGAAAAAGGTGGATTGCGACTTCTATTAGTCACAATAGAAGTCTTACCTCTTTCTTACCTCTATCTTTTAGTGTTTTCCCTTTGCCCTTCTGGAAATGAATCAGCAGTGCAGCTGAAACCAGATTAGCCATTACAGAACCCCAGTCTCCTACAAGGTAGTATCAGAATGATTTATTTTCCTTTGTTGCTCAAACTTAAGTGACTGGACCAAGAGCTGGAGTTTATATCTGGTCTCTGTTTGGGATATTTTGCTAGCGAAGTACCTTCTAAAGAACTGCCAGGTGGTTTCTCTGTAAAACAGAGATTTCAGATAGAAGAGGCTTAATGAATTCAAGACAGCTGAGCAACGGAAAATAACTCCTGTCATTCTTACAAGCTTCTCTTCAAGAAGTGGTGATGAGACAGAACATTTCCTCTAAACGTCCTACCATATATCTGGAAATCTTCAGTGCTGAAATATGGAAAGGTCACTTGTTTTTTAAAATCTACTACCCTTAACTCTTAAAAGTGAAGATAATTGTCTCTAATTGCATAGCAATTCTGGCCTGTTTGTAGTGTCTTGATATTGCAAAGTCAGAACACTTTAATAAGCAGGTAATTCAGGGTGGTGCTTTTACCGTTTAGTATCTGTTCTTATTTAACGCCTGGGGAAGAAGGAAGGGAAAAGAAAGCTGTAACATTTACTTGTGCATCCTTTTGGTGTAATAATCTGTGCTATGCATTTATTGTCTAGCATGTCTATTTGAACAAAAATTTTGTATATTTTTATAGGATTATCATTGAGCAATTCATATGCTGCCCTGACCCCAGTAGAAAATCAGCAGTTTATTATCTATTTCAGATATTTTTCTAGTTAGACGTGTTATCTAGACTGGTTTAATCATAGTTACAGCCACACAAAAAAAAATCTGCTAAGGCTTATATTGTAAATCTTCTATTAAACTACACTTATACTGTTGTGGGTTGTTTTTTTTTAACCAACAAACAAAAAAAACCCCAACAAACCACCTTGCTGACTGGTGTAGGTTATCTTCTGGATGTGAACAGATTAATTCTGCAAAATAGGCACAAGTGGTATGGAGGGACATTCACAAGGCACATGAGTGTAGCATTCCTAGTTTTAGGTGTGCTGCTACATGCAGGCTTTCCAAGCATGGTGTGAAAGAGTTAGATACCTAAGAATTTGAGAAACCAAGTTAGATCTAAGTTAGCCCCAAGAAAGAATGTTGAGGGAGGGAGAAGGAAAGGAATTAGGTAGCTATATACTCCTGCAAAGCACCCTAAGATTTAAGCCGTTTGGTAAGGTCAGCTGTTTCTCATGAGAAACAGTGAAGCTGCTGAGTCTCCTCTTGAGACTGAAGACTGTATGGGTAGAGTGCTCAGCTAGGATGAATCCTGTCTTCAGCTTGATTTTGGAGGCTCTGAAGTCTGACTTCCTTGCTTCCCAAATGAGTTATCTTAACTTATAGACTGAAGTTACTTTGGAGAGTGTATCTTTCATTCTCTTCCACTGACATACTTTATTAATTAATGCAGAATTTCCCTCAGATTTTGAGAAGCTCACTTAGCGTTACCCTCCTCTTAGGGTTGAGGAAACTACAGCAAAGAGATCAACTATTGGACTGAAGGGGGGTCCACTTGGACCAGAAGTGGAGCCAAGAATTTCCAGGTTCCTAGGGGACTCTAGGACTGCTAAACTTTACTACACTTAAGCTAATGTCTTAATTCTTGCCTCAATAAATATAAATGTCAAAGAAAAGCAGGGGATTCAAAGTGATAGCGTATTTCTTAATTTAATTGTTTAGATTCTTATCTGTATCTTACCTTAAGTTATAGCACAGCTGTTGCATGTATGTGTACTAAAACTAGGATAGTTTGTTGCATGTTACAAAAGTGAGAACGTGGTGATTCAATCTCGGAAGCCCTTATGTGGGCAGCCTCCGTATTTAATACTCTTAATGCTCTTCTAATACAGTTCTTCAGCACTGAAGATTTTGGGTTAAGATACAATAAGAACCTTTCTAGTTATACTTTGTAAAGCAACTTGAGAGAGAAGAAGAGGGTCCAAAACATTATACTTACTTTTGCAAAGAGCTGTAATTGCATCATTCTAAGGCACAGTAGTTGCAAATTACATCAGTAACTTAACTGCCAGTGTAGCTTTAATTATTTTAGCATATATTCTCACTGGAGAAAAAAAACACGTAATACTTGAGTAAGGGCTTTGCTGTTAAGAGGATCCAGTTTTAACTGCAGTTGCTACAAACAATGGCTTTTAGCCTCATGGCTTGACTGTTTGTGTGTTTTTTATAAAAATACATTCTTTTGGAACACAGTTTGGACCTACGATTTTTCTGCTTTAATACGGTTTTTTGCAGCCTTTTGGCCCTCATGGGGCTTTCAGAAGATTGCAACAAATTCTTTTCTTCTGAGAGTGGTGGCTGTGCGTTGATTTGTCATAGAGGCCAGTGTGTAGAAAGCCTGCCAGCTCAAGCTGGCATTTCTGGCCATTCACGGACGAGTTAGGAATCAAAGTATATCCAAAAGCTTGCGGTAGTAAAGAATACTTAAGAGCTTGGGTCCTCTCTTGTCTTCTGCAGTTGAAAAGAGGGGAGAGAGTGTTACTGGGTATGGGGAAACCCGTTCCAGGACTCCTTCCTGACTGAGGGCGAGCAGCCCCGTGACTACTAGAAGAAAATCTTTTATGTGCTTTTCTCCAGGATACGTGTCTCAGTACAGTTTCTGAGCAGTCCCCTGTGAAGGTTTGTGTGCGTATGAGCTGCCCTAGGTTCAGTGCTTCTTACCAAGGGACTGTCACTTTGAACACACAGGAGTGAGCTGTTGCTCCCATGATAAGGTGAGTCCAGTCAAAAGGGACTGGTTGCGTTAGGCGTGAGGAAGGAAAAAGAATAATTGGGACATGTTAACAGTGTATGTAGGATGTGTGATTTGGCAGTGTCCATGGCAATTTTCCTGCTGTTCTGTGGGTTTTAATGCAGGGAAGCAATTGCAGAAGGACTGTTACCCTCCTTCGAGGCCTATAGGAGCCCTGTGATGTCTTTTATTATCAATAAAATGCAGAAGCAGAAATTCTTGGGCTAAGAACGTGACTGTTTAGAAGATGAAGTGAAAATAAAGTGATCGAATGTCACTTCTAGTGCCGTATTGGCACCTTGAGCCACAAATCCCTGGAGGCATGGGGAGCACATCAGCAGTATATTTTGCCATGTTCTTGCACTCTTCCTTAGGCTACAGGCACAGACTTGGCCAGACCCATAATTTGACCTCACATTTGTTCACCACTTTATTTTCTTTTCACCCATGCAATAGCTTGGACCTCAACAACTTCATGTAGATCAGCTTCAGTATTGCTAGCAGGAGAAAGGCTAGTGGTTTTACTTAGTAGTCATTGCCAAAGGGTGTTTTCTACATTTCCAGCATTACCTCGAAATGAAACAAAGCTTAAAGCAGTAATGGACAGGCATGTTGTGAAGATATTTGTATGGATAATAAAGTTTTGCATTTTTTGTACTGCTGCTATTCAAACATTTAGTAAAAGCACTTGGCAAATGCTAATGAATTTGTTCCCACAACAGAAGCACAGGCATGACAGCCAACATTTTTCAAATTTAAGTATCTAAAATTAGACACCAAAGTGTTTTTAGAACCCATAATAAAAATGATTGAATTTTTACAACTGTGGAATACTCACAGCTCTCTGCAAGTGGCTTCATTACTCATACAATATATAAGCGCTTGTGGAAGACACAGGATTTCTCCCACCAGTGTGGAAAGAAAAGCCTAGTCCTATCAAAGTTGATTTCCGAGCTCTCATTCATATTCAGGGAGTCAGTAACTTGCTGCTTGGTTCTGGGTCAGCAGCAGCTGATGCTGTGTCACTGGGGCTGCTGCTAAGAGTTTTCAAACTGATTTCAGTGGGAGTTTTGCATCTGACCTCTGAGGGACCATTACTGGTTAACTGCTCTGGTAAGTAATTGTATATATTCTTATTTACAGCATATCAGTTTTCAGCCCTAAGGTCCACAGAAAGAGGAACAACAATAGCAACAACAAAGTTGACCGTGTCTTTGGTCAACAAAAAGATAAAACACAGTAGAGAGGGACCACAGACTTGCCGAAATACAATGATGCTAGATAAACAAGGATGAAATTGGAAAGTAGTTTAAGTTCTCATAAGGATAGGTATCCAAGATTAAGGAACAATTTCCAGAAAATGTTGATGTCCATAATACTAAGAAGCAAAACATTTCTGCAAGGGACGAAATGAGGGTGGGAGGGAGGAAGGGAGGGAAGCAAGAAAGATTCTCAGATCAGCTCTCCTGACCACCACAGATAAGGGTCGGGTTGCATAAAGAAGAGCTTGCATTTTACAATATGAGCTTGGGAAAACTACATATTTCTTACTGGTGACTTCTAGAGATAAACATGGCTTCAGATGCATTGGTGTTTATTAAAATTACAAAATCTTAGGAAAACTAGATTTATCTAGCATCAGAACCTTTTAATTTTTGCCCTTCTGAGTCAATTTTTTGTTTATTAGATTTTTGGCCCATTCTGTTTATAATCCTTATGAATCTCAACCTTTTGGATAACTCTGCCAGATGCGAATTTTTTCCCAGACTGAACTGACCTGGATCCGCAACATGCACAACAGCACTGCCGAAACTCCGCATATGGCTGGAGCACGCAACGAGACTTTGTCCACACAGTCACCGAGCTCCGAGTTTTCACTGGGCGTGATGGTGCTGCTGGCTTTCCTCATGGTGTTGCTAGCTCTGGTCACCATCCTCGGAAACGTCCTGGTGATCCTTGCTTTCATCATGGACAGAAACCTCAGGCATCGGAGTAACTATTTCTTTCTCAATCTCGCCATTTCTGACTTTGCAGTGGGTAAGTTGCAGCCGTGGAGGCACGTACTACTTGTTTGCTAGGAATCTCAGGAGAAGCAAGTGGGCTTCTTTTGCTGGGTGGTTTCTTCTAAGAGAACTATTTCCCAGCTGTGTCGGGTAAGGAATGGGGGAGACTGCATTAAGTGTCCTAGCAGCCTACTATTTTTCAGAAATACATTATCATAAGAAGTGGATCCTTTGCCAGGTAAACAGCTAATGCTTAACGTCATGGCTTCAGGAAAAAATACTAGTGTCTGTGTGAATCTGTGTGGAATAACAAAGAATTGGAGTTGTTTGTGAAGAGTCAGACTAAAGTTTAGATAGTCAAATTGAATATCATATATATTATCTGGCAGATCTTGCATACATGGTTGATTATCTTCTTTTTCAATCTACTCTCATACAATACTTTTTTAGTAGTTCACATAGTGATAGGACGAGGGGGAATGGCTTTAAACTGGAAGAGGGCAGGTTTAGATTAAACATTAGGAAGAAATTTTCCACTCTTAGGGTGGTGAGGCACTGGAACAGGCTGCCCAGAGAAGTTGTGGATACCCCATCCCTGGAGGTGTTCAAGGCCAGGCTGGATGGGGCTTTGAGCAACCTGGTCTAGTGGGTGGTGTCCATACCTATGGCAGGGGGGTTGGAACTCGATGATCTTCAAGGTCCCTTCCACCCTAAACCATTCTATGATACAGATAATTGCCTGAAGTTTGCAACTAAATGGTGATGAGTAGTATTTTTAAGTATTTTGCTGTACATACTCTATCTAGAGTCATACCTCAGGAATATGTGTTTATATAGGTAAATAAAAATAACAAATCAAACAGTCTCTAAGTTTGATGTTATACATATATATTTATACACAGCGACACGTTTTATTTTGAAACTTGTACTGAGAAATTTTGAAACTTGTACTGAGAAAAAGTACAATTAAAACATTTGTGTGATGTGCCACTGGAGATTGATGCATTGCAATATTCTGTGAAGTGTTAGGTGTCTTTGGTAAAAGTCTTGGTTAAATCATTGAGTATTCAGAAAGACGGTTTTAAACAGGTTTGGCTATTTCATGAAATCTATATACTGACTTGTCATGTCACAACAAAATCTTTTAAAACTATTTTTATTCTACTTTTTTACCTACACATTTTAAAAAGATACTGAAAGAACAGAAGGAACTCTTCCTAAAATTTATTGCCAGTGTCAGAAGTTCTGTTAGGACCATGGTTTCTAATAGTCCGGTCCTCGTGATGCCCAGATCTCCTTGTGTTGTTCTGTTTTGATCCCTTCCACCATACGCTTCATGTCTTCTTCCAGCTTATAACTGCCTTGTTGTGCCGCAGAGCTCTTGCTGCTGTCTGGCTGCGGTACACAGGAAAAAACCACAGCAGTGAACAGAAAACCAGTGGACAGAGTGGCATTCTGTCATCTGGCTCACAATGTAGCACCTCATTGAACAAATACCAGTATCTAGCTGAGAAGTACAAAGTAAATAATGTCCCCCATCAAAGAAGGAAGTAGATCTTGGCATGACCGAACTTCCATCAATTTTTGTTTTGTGATATTGCGTTTATCTGACTGTCTAGTTTTTCATTCTAAATGTGGTTAAAAGCTTCACAGACTTTAAAGTCAAACTGATTTGTATTTCTGTAGCTACATAACTTAGGTTTAGGGTATACCTAAATTATCCTTAATTTCTGCTTGATCCTAATTGCGAAAAGCACACACTTCCATGCTTGCAGGGCCCTTTGCTTATTCTTTCAATAAATTTAATCTATCTGATTTTGACCTTCAACAATTTTTGCTTTATCTCTGTGCTTCTGGACCTATAGCTGGATTTGAATTGAGATCTCTTGATTCTCAGTAGAGGGAGAATAACAGGAATTGTAAGATTTTTAGGGAAACAGAAACTCTCAAGATACTCTTCAGTACCTGTTACAGGAGGACACACTGTTATGAAGTAAATCTAAAGTTGAAGTAATACCCTTTTTTCCCCCCTGTGAGTGTTAAAATCTATAATATAACCTTTTGCTCAAAAGAACAAGTGTCAGTTGCTCTGCAGGTGCAGTGATTCCATTTCATTGCAGCATAGATGCTGTTCACTGCGTCACAGCAAACTACACCATTGGCTCTTCAGCCTCTCAAGGCTGCTTTGTGACTGCGTGTGTAGTGTGATCACCTAGAAATTCATTATTGGCACTTTCACAACATTTGTATTTAACAGCTTAAATTTAGATAGCCATGGGTGTGAGTCACTCGTGTATGTTCCCACCACTTGGTGTGTTTCCATAGGTAATACCCTCATAGCTCACCACTGAAAAGTGGTTATGATCAAGAATTACAATGAGAAGAAATGTTAGACTGGGTATACTGTCCTGGTTTCTGCTGGGATAGAGTTAATTTTCTTCCTAGTAGCTGGTATAGTGCCGTGTTCTGGATTTAGGCTGAGAATAATGTTGATAACACACTGATGTTTCAGTTGTTGCTGAGCAGTGTTTACACTAAGTCAGGGACTTTTCAGCTGCTCATACTGCTCTGACAGTGAGGAGGCTGGGGGTGCGCAAGAAGCTGGGATGGGACACAGCTGGGACAGTGGACCCCAACTGGCCAAAGGGATATTCCATACCATATGACATCATCCTCAGCATATTAACAAGGGGGAAAGCTGTCCGGCAGGCCGCTGCTCGGGAACTGGCTGGGCATTGGTCGGCAGGTGGTGAGCAATTGCATTGTGCCTCACTTGTTTTGTATATTCTTTTATCAGTATTATTATCATCATCAACATCACCATCCCTTCTTTTTTAGTCCTATTAAACTGTCTTTATCTTAACCCACGGGGTTTACTTTTTTTTTTTCCTGATTTCCCCCCCATCCCCCTGGGGAGGAGTGAGCAAATGGCTGTGTGGCGTTTAGCTGCCTACCGGGTCAAACCACAACAGTGTACTTAATTAACTGTGCAGTTTTTGTCAGACTTTTGATCATACAGTTTTAAAGATCAGCTTGAAATTCACATTTTACTTCTATAAAAGTTACTTCTGGAGCACTTTTGGACACCATATCATGTTTCTAAGAGGATAAAAGCATGGCAATCAGATAATTTATTGTAGAAAACAGTAAATTACATTGGGGAGGGAGAAGATGTTTGTTTGTTTTAATTTCAGCAGTTTATACAGAATAGTGTTTACTGCAGCAGGTAAAAAAGTCAGCTGCTCCTTCCTTTAGAAGGTGATATAAACAGGAGAAGTAATAATGACACACAATAAACCTTTCAGAACGGTGTTAATTCTAAGAAAGTTACTGGTGCTTAGTTTGTAGTAAAGTGGTCATTGGTTGCATGAGAATAAAAGCCTTCCACATGGCAATTCCAGTCAGTATGGTGTTTTTATCAGATACCAAAGAAGTGTTTCTATGCTTTCACGAGCACTACCTGCAGTGATGACTGATGTGTGCGTTTGGTTTATTTCCACAGGTGTGTTCTGTATGCCTTTGTACATCCCTTATGCCCTGACAGGGATCTGGCACTTCGGAAGAGGCATCTGCAAGCTCTGGCTAGTTATGGACTATCTCCTGTGCACAGCTTCAGTGTTTAGCATCGTCCTTATCAGCTACGACCGTTTCCTGTCAGTTACAAAAGCTGTAAGAAGAACACTTCTAATTATTTTGCAATATATATTGAGATTTCTATAAAAGTCGGAGTGTTCACAATTAACACTAGAATCTAAATAGTCCTTCATTATTGTACCATTTTTATGCGGAGAAACGTTGATGCTTCAATGTTACATTGGGACTTAGAGATAGGGTAACGCCTTGCTTATGATTTCAATGTTTCCCTCCTGCCGCCTGGATTAGAAACTATTTAATTACACTATAGAGGAGGTGGGAAAGTCAAGGTAGGAAAGGGGCAGCAGGAGTGTGGAGAACTTGGGCTTTGGTCATGAGAAGAGTGGTAACGAAAACTAGGTTAAGTCAAGGATGTGCTTAGGCTTGGGATAAATTTTAAAAGGAGAAGAGGGTATGGAGAGAGATGTGGGATAGACTGACTGAAGATCAGATGAGGATCTGCATTACCACAGGGGGTGATTGACATGTGCTGCCAACAAGCAGTTGGGTGGAAACTAATCCCTTGAAGCAAAAGGAAGAATAAATCAAAATATGTGGAGAGGTAAGAGGTGTTTCTCGAGTATTATCATACCTCTGCTTCAGAAGGTATCTGAGGAATCCAGTGGTAAATATTATCATTCACCATTCTAAGCTCTACCTGGTGTTTGGTCCAGATGGAAAGTGCTTTTCATGAGTGCTAGCTCGAGTGACATGGGCTGTATTAGATCGAGAGATTCTCGTTTGGGAAGTGCTGATACAATCCCTAATCTCTTTCTCTTCTTCCCCAGTGTTGTGGTTTTAGGGTTAGTTGTTGCTGCTTTTTTTTTTTTTAAAGCTGAAAAATAAAGTATGAAAATCCCTGTATTTAAGAAATTGTAATATTGAAAAATATTAATGAAGTTGCAGAGCTCAGAATGTGAGAAATATAAATTAAAAAGGCCTCTGCAACCCAGCTGAGGTCCATGTTTTTACTCATTATTGATGGTCTTCATTTACATGATCACATTCTGTTTTTCTTCTTTAGGTAATTAGGGTGGAGTTAGTTCAGGAGAGTATAACATAGGGCTCTTATCCAAAGAAAAGATATCATGTTTCCTCATGGACGTGGGATCTACTGGTGCCTCTACTGCAAACCCAGCTTGTGGCCAGGGGCCACCCATTTCAGACTTAACTTTCTGTGCGGCTGTGCTGAGCTTCCTGTTTTCTGCCTGAGATACTTCTGCCACTGAGATACTTGTGGTCGTGCAAAGGGCTGCAAATTCATTATTGCAGAACTGGAGCTGTGCTCTGAGCCAATGCGATGCTTTAAGATGGAGAAGTGCCTGAATCTTCAGGCTGCAGATGTTTAAAACAGAGAATCTAAAATAATGTGTGTAACACTGCACTACTACTCTGTTACTCACCGGTAAAATAGGGACAATGCCCCTTTTGTCATATGCAGTTCTGAAGATACCATTCATTAGTATTTGTATAGCATGCAGGTGCTAATTAACAGCATAGGAAGCTGATGGGGAAGGTAGTAATTCTGGGTCTGAGTAATGCCTGGGATGATAAATGTTGAACAGTATTGAGGAAATGAAATTGTCCAGCTTCTCATTAACTGATCATCTTGCTCTCTGAGAGATGCAGGGGATAAAGACCTTTAAGTTTGTATTGTGCATACTTGCTGGGCTATTACAAGGGCAGTTTTACCTCTCCTAACTTTGGATGACATGATTTTAATTCTTAGTATTTTTTTCAAAGGTAGATATTTATGGCTAGAGAATAAAATAGCTTAATGTGGTCTGGGTAGGCATAAAACCACCAAGATTTGCAGTAATGCAATGAGCTGTTTACAAGGTAAAGTGAGTGTTAGAACAGAATGTTTCAATAAAGTAAGGGATGTTAAAGCATGTATGTGAGATAGAGTTTTCTGCTATGACAAGAGGAGACAGTATTAAAAATTATATTGTCTAGTGTTTGCAGTCGCACATGGCAACCTGTCTAATACAGAAGGCTTCTACTTTTGCCTGTGCCGGAAGGACATCCCACAGCTGCTTTCACTCTCCTCTGAGCTTGGGCATTTCATGAACCATAAACTGATTCCTTATTGCTACCTTACTGTGGTGGTGATGAAAATAAGCCATGTCCTTTCACACCTGGAAGCCGAACGGTAGTTTAGCTGTCATAATTTCTGCCCCTTTCCAATCCCAAGTATTAAAATCAATTACAGAGCTACAGTATTTGATGAGCAAGACTAACAGAGTTTTTCGGGACCTTACATAAGTGAAGATGTTCTAGGTGTCTGGGGAATTACAGAACAAATATTGTATTTGATTTGCTTATGTTTTTTTGACATAGTTGTTACAAAATGTTATCTGAATATGTGACATGTTTGTTTCCTTCTCAGGTATCTTACAGAGCCCAGCAGGGAATAGCGTCCAACCCTGTCATCAAGATGGTGGCAGTCTGGGTCTTTGCCTTCCTCCTCTACTGCCCAGCAATCCTCTTTTGGGACCACGTGGCCGGACACAGCGTGGTAGCGGTGGACCAGTGCTACGCTGAGTTCTTTGACAACTGGTACTTCCTCCTGTGTGCGTCCACGCTGGAGTTCTTCGTGCCTCTGCTCTCGGTGACCTACTTCAACGTGCACATCTTCCACAACATCCAGAGGCGCCAGCGGCATGGCAGCATGCAGGACTGTGAGCTTCCAAGGAGAGACAGCCTGTCCTGGAGATTTTGCCTCTTGCCAAGGCCAGGAGCATCTTCTCCTCCATCAGAAGCAGAGGACAGTGTTTCATCTACAAGGTCGTGGAGACCAGCAGTGATGGCTAACTGTCCATCTCCAACACAAACCAGTCCCACTGCTCTCAAAAAGGACTTCTCTGTTTCTTTCCGTTCAAGGACCGGATCAAAACTGCAGCGGGACAAGAAAATTGCAAAGTCGCTTGCCATAATTGTATGTGTGTTTGCCATTTGCTGGGCCCCATACACTTTACTAATGATTATTCGTGGGGCCTGCAAAGGAAAGTGCATCCATAACTCCTTGTATGAAATTACTTTTTGGCTTTTGTGGATCAATTCCTCTTTGAACCCATTTCTTTACCCTCTCTGTCATGTGAGATTTCGCATGGCTTTCATGAAAATATTATGTCCCAAAATGTTTGCAAAATGGAGGTCACGTAACACACCTTCTTTTTAGAGAGTTAAAATAAATGACTTGCAGATAAGGTTCCTCTCTTATCTAGTGCTATATTTTCACATATGTCTTCAACAGAAATAAAGAAAAAAACTTTTGTTTACTAATGGCATTGGTTAAGAGTGCAGCAGAAGCAGGTATGTGCCCTGATTCTGCTATTTTTCAGGATCTTGGTTTTGTTTTTGCTGGTGTGATGCTAGGTTAAACACCACCTAGGGCATTGAGAAGAATAACAAGTTTAGTTGGATGTGCTTTTGGTACGTTTTGTTTCTTCCTTTTTTTTTTTTTTAATATATGCATAGATCTGGTACTATGAAAGAACTCTTCTATATATATCTCCATAGATGTTCATTGAAGGGAGATACCTGCTTGTGTATGTGTTGAGTTAAAATTTATGTCTTATTTGTGAATGTAAAGCTCTCAGTGTAGAAGCAGTTCTGCTACATTTTTTGAAAAGTTGTATAAATACTCACAGGAACAGTACAATTTCATTTTAAAAACTATTATGAAGACAAGACAGTGTCCTGTAGTCATTATAATTCCCACAGTGAGCAATATGCAAGTGAATGAGCTGCCTAATCCAGCATATCTGTCCTTTTCTAATTTTAATACAGTCCATACTATATGTTGTAGGACACCACACACATAAGTTAGCAATTCTGGATGATTTTCAGAGAACGAAAGTTTCCATGGTAATGGAATTTTGAGATTGGTTCTCAAAATTGTCATAGGCATAAATGGTTCTCTTTTCACCAGTACTGTCTTTTCTCCTGACAGTGGCTGCCTCTTTGGTCATGCTTAAATGATATTTAGTGTCATATTTGTGCACTATTTGATTACCTAAAAGAAGGGCCAGGCTTGGGCACATGATCACATTCCTGTTGAATTAGCAGAGCAAGCAATACAAAGTTCATGCTGGATTTATGATTTTGGCTGGCTGTGCGAGAATAGACAATACCCTCTGGGGCGTAAAGCTTTGCAAGTGCAAAGATATTCCATCAAAACGTCTGGAACAAATTTGAACTGACAGAGTGATTTTTATCCTAGATCAGTTCTTTGTGTCCTGTTACTGTGACGTTCTATGGATTTTCTCTGCTGCTGAACCAGTATCAAACAGAGGTCTGAAAGCTGACACAGAGGTGTCTTAAGCAGCTGTTAATAAACAAAGCAGTTGAACACACAGTGCTGAAAGGAGTGGGTACATGTGCTGGAGAAGGAAATGGAGCTTGATTATAACCCATTCCATGTGCCAAACTTTCTTATCTTGTGTTGGGTGTTGCAACTCACCCAGAAGGCTTTCATGGATGGGTAAGTGAGAGTCACTGGTTAAATTTTTTTTTCTCTCCTTTTATATAGTTTTCTTTCCTCTTTGTGTATATATAGAAATGTATAAAATATGGAAAGAGCAGTCTGATGCTCAGAACAATGAAGAGTAAGAGTCAATTTAAATAGTACTTTTTATCTAATTTGAAATTGGCTGTAGCAGTGTTGCAGAAGCAGAGTAGTCCTTTGCAAGCACAGTTAAAATGTATGTAAGCAGCTTAATCATAGCACGAAAGTTGATGGCTTTGAGGAGCTAAAATGCCATTCTGTTCAGAGGTCTGGATCTGAAGACTTCTCTTGCCAGTTTTTGTACTAGTGGAAGATTATCTTTCACCATTCATCCTCGTTATGCTTCCTTGCCTCATGTGGGCAGCGTTATGGATTGCTAAGAGAGATACAGCTTCAGGAGGAGGTCATTGATGCAGCACTGCTGTTTTCACTGTCACGAGCTAAGCTGCTGGCACAGATTTTGTGCGATTTGTTTTGGGTTTTTTTGTGAGGCTTAAAATAAACCAAACGCACACACATTTAAAACATTTATAGAATAGCTGATGTACTAAATAAATATCTGTTAAACAGAGAAACTGTAGGTAGGCCCAAAATGGGAAAGTATTTGAGTTGTCTGCTTTTCTATTCCTATGCTTTCAGTATAAAAATTCAGTTTGCATTTTGTGATTAAAGAATGTGTTGTTTACTTTGGAAAAATGCCCTACAAAATTATTGGCTAGGTAAACTGTATCCACATTTTGCAGTCCTGGAAAACCAGAGGGTGTCAGAGAGCACCATGTGCAGCAAATTTGAAACCACACAGGGCAGTGGAGCTACTAGAGGTCAATGTTTTTGATGTTCTTTATTACACCCACAGAGTTCAAACTGCTTTGTCACACCACTCCTGTATATTTGAAGAATTTGTTGTATTTTTCTAATTGTTGAAATTTTTGCTTGGTGTTCCCAGGGTAAGTCAAGCACTTAGTTGCTGTGCTCACAGCTGTCTTGGTCAAGGTGGCATCCTAAGTCTTCTCCTCCCTATCGGACATTTTGCGGGGCTGTGGTAACATGCTTATTCAGCATATTCTTGGGTGTGCCCTTCATGCACTGACACAAATGGACTTTGCTTGCCAAAGTGGTTTCTAAGCCAAGTCCCTCTATGCACTCACTCATCCATTTCACCATTTCATGCCTTTGCATTTTCTTCTGTCTTTGCAGATGTCCAATAGCTCTTGTAAATACATGGTGACAGTAGGCCTATGATTCTGTGAGGTTCAACTCAAACCACAACAATGTTTTTCTAACTTTACCCTCTCAGGTCTTAAAAAAACAAACAAACAAACAAATAAAACATAGATGTTGGAAGAAATTGTGTTATTTTTTGTTTGTTTATTTCTGGGACGAGTATTTAAGCCCGATTCTCCTAATTGCTGTCTCCTTTATGTTAGGCTATGGTTTTTCCTCCGCAGGGAGGAAGGAAGGAGTGACCACATAGATTTCTCCCTCAGCCCCATGAAGGGACTATGATTAAAACTTTAATATTTTATTCATTTCCTAATTTTTAAAAGCAAATGTCTAGTCTCCCCTTGTCTCCAGTCATTTTGTCAAAGAAGAAAGCCAAGGTGCTCAGACATGATTTACTCTTGGTAAACCTATGTTGACTGTTCCCAGTCACCTTTTCCTCCCTCAAGTTCTCAGAAATGCCTTCCATGAGGACTTGCTCCATTATTTTCCCAGGGACCAAAGAGAGTCTGACCTTTTGTCCTTGTGGCATCATTTGAAGATGAGTGCAACATTTGCCTTTCTTCAGTTGTTGGGAACCTTCCCTCCCCTGCATGACTTTTCAAAGAGGATAGAAAGTGGCTTTGCAAGGATGGTAGCTGGTTCCCTCAGCAGCCTTGGGTTTACCCCATCAGGTCCCATGGACTCTTTTACAGGTCAAGTCCTCTCAAGTAATCTCTGCTTTATTCCCACCTGCTTCTGACAGGTCTCCTCCCTGAACTTTTTCACTAATCATGGAGAAGAGGGAGACCTGGCTAGTGAAGACTGAAGCAAAAAAAGAATTGGGTACCTCAGCCTTATCCACATCTGCTGTTACTAGATCACTGTCTCCATTCAGCAACAGGCCTACATTTTTCCTGTTCAGGATATTACTGTTAATGGGGCAGCTGAAGTTCTTCATGTTGTCTTTGATGTCCTTTACAGGCATCAACTCCAGGTGAGCTTTTGTTTCCCCAACATCATACTTATGCAGCTAGGCAACATTTCTAAATTCCTCCTTTGTAGCCTGTCCCTGCTTCAAAGTCCTCCATGCTGCTTTTTCGCATTGTATCTTCCCTGGTTAACTAGTCTCCCAATACCTCTACTTGTTTTCTGGACAATTGGGATGGGTTTTTCTTGTGCATGGAATCTGTTGTCCTTAAAGGCATGCAGGTTTCCTAAACACATTTTCACTTCTGTCGTGGTTTAGGCCAAATCGGCTACTGGGGACCTGAAGGACCCCAGATGGGACCGACAGATGCTCTCCTCTACCCCTCTTCAGAGAGAGGGGCAGAGGAGGAAAAAGAGACTTACGAGTTTAGAAGGAACTAAACTACTTTAAGGAAATATTAATAATAAAATAAAATAAAAAAAAATGAAATATATACAAAACCGTATCAAGCTCCCGAGATGACAATCACGACACCGGCTGGCACTGGGGCAGTCCCAGGCTGGACTCAGTGACGGACGGGAACTGGATTCCGGATCTGCATTCAGGATCGGGATCGCAGGCAGACGAACAGAGTCCTCCTCAGACGTCGGCCATTGCA